CGCTGATCCGAAACCTGCAGTGTCTCCTGCTTCTTCTTTCCCAGATATGAGCTGATATCCCCACAAAGCTCTCATTAGACTGACACACTGACACGAACAACTAAACAGCACTGAAAGAGCTGGAAGCCACGTGAAACGAGCAACATGATCTGCAATTAGCTTTTGATTTTTCCACAGATAAAAAAGCAAGAAAAAAGAAAATAGAGCCGTAATATATTGTTTCTGATTAGGATATTTCCTTCCGAGGATGACTGAATTGCTGCATTTGATGTCTCCATTAAATGACAGGTTTGAATAATCTAAAAAAGAAAATAGCAATCTGCCTCCATCTTTCCATAAAAAGATGAAACTCAAGAGCCTTTTGCTGAAATACATGTGTTAATTTATTCCTTTAATCTTACATATTTTTCATTGGCAACCCCAGTCTGGCTTTTTCAGATTTAGACCGAAATCAGCAGTAATCCCTCACGAATTGGTGGATTAACATATGTATTTTTCTCAGTTTCAGCTTGACAGACCAGACGAAAAACTTTCACATCCTCGGCAACTGACTGTAAACACAAAGTGAATCTATACAACACAGGATCAAGAGCAAGAGAGAGAGAAAAGTCAGGGAAGGAGGCAGGAAAAGAAGAACAGAAAGGAGAGAAAAGGCAAAGGGGGAGAAGAAGCAGAAAAGATGTAATGCAGCAAAATAAAAATCTGTTCGTAAAACAAAGAATGAAAGCAGTTTATGAATCAATATAAACAAAGACAGAGCTACTGTAAAGCTACAGAGATACGCTTTTCCTCTTCTTTCTGATCTATGCAACAAAGACTGTGCTGCAGCTAAGATATCGGTTCTATTAACTCCTGATCTTGAATGCAAAGACAAAGCCTGTGCTGCCAAGGATGCAGCTCTGATCTTCTTTTGTTTTCAGACCCAAGCTAATGCTGATGCAGTTAAAGTGGGAGCTGAAATCCTGATCATTCTTTAAAGTCCAGTTTAGTGAAAGAGCAAAAGCAGCACAGCACAGAAAAAAACAGAAGTGTTGAAAGTGGGAGAAGTTATCGGCATCAAAACTTGCTAGCCATCTACACAGAAGCTAACATGTCACTGCTGTATCAGTGGCCACAAGATGGATAACACAGTGTTAGAGTCTCAGACATTTATCCATTAACGCCTCCCAACAATGTTATCCAAAAACAGCTGTTAGGTTGTTACCAGAGGCGAGATGTAAAGAAGTAAATCGCTTCTCCCACTCTTGCTGTACTCACAGGCTGCTGGCAGACACCGTCCGCGATGTGATACCGTCACAGGGGCTCTCAGATCAGTGTCTAAGCCAGGGAGAGCGAGGTTTGAAGCTTAGAGTCCTGAGACGTGAATGAGAGGAAAAGGATAGAGAGAAAGAGAGGGAGCCCGTTCCACGTTGGATGCAGCACAGGAGAGAGCAGGAGAGGAAAGATGCGAATGTGTGTCTACGTAGGTATGTAGCAACGTGTGGTGGAGTGGGGAAAAAATATGTGTGCGTAAAATCGGTCCAGTGCTGCTCAGCTGCCAGAGAAACAACAGATGCTAACTCTTTCTCTCTCTCTCTGTCTCTACTACACTCCACTCTTGCTCCATCTCCCGTTCGCTGGTGCGTTCATTTTGCTCCTCCCCCTCTTTGACAGCAGCTAGCACACCCACCCACACACACACACACACTGTTTCCTCAGGTCACTCATGCAGGAAGCTGAGTCAATGCCAGGCTCTCCTGCCCTACTTTGGCCCAGGGAATCAGTCTACAAGCCACACACACACACATGGTAAAGCTTGACCAAGCATTCTGAATATTGATTTTTGGGAAGCTTAACTAAGAGGTCAATTCATAGCTCTTAAATGGATTTTCTTTTCATTTTGTATAGCAGTCACATAAAAAATGAGACACTAGCATTTGTCTTAATAAGTATACGCAATTAAACTCTTTCTGCGCTGCATGATTTGTCTGCGCCTCCATCTGTCTCACTTTCCCCACTTCCAGAGTTGGGACGGTTCTTTCTTGCATGTGTTTGGCTTCTAAGAAATGTTAAAGATTATAACAATATTCCCATGTAAAAGTGAACAGGTTGTGCTACAATTTTCTGTAGACAAACGGAAATCATGTGGGTTTCATATCATCGGCATTTAACTGCCAACACAGATCACCGCAGTGTAGCATTAACAGATTAAGAACAAGACAGACACA